TCAATCATACAAGCTATGATTATAATTACAATTCAAAGATCAAAGGACTAAATATGCCAAAGCATTTGTATCTTTTAAATTCGGACTTGTGTTGCCTATTTGGTGCACAATTAATTTGAAATCGGATATATATATATGGGAGCTATATCCAAATCAGAACCGATCTCGATATAATTTGGCAAAGATATTTCTGAGCTGTATTTGATATATTTCCCTGAATATCGTTGTTACGGAGTGCATATTACGGTTGTGAGTAACAAATATAACAAATCGGATGAACAATATATATGGAAGCTATAGCTATATCTGAACCGATCTTCACCAAATTTGACACACTAGCTTCTAGACTTAATTCGGTCGTAAGTGCCAAATTCCATCCCATTTGGACAAATATTAGACGTTTGGTGCACAATAAATGGTAAATCGGACGAAGTTATATATGGGAGCTATATCCAAATCTGAACCGATCTCGATAAAATTTGGCAAAGATATTTCTGAGCTGTGTTTGATATATTTCCTTGAATATCGTTGTTACGGAGTGCATATTACAGCTGCGGAGGAAAAAAATAACAAATCGGATGAACAATATATATGGGAGTTATAGCTTTATCTGAACCGATTTCGATCAAATTTGGTATACTTATTTTTAGGCCTAATTTAGGTGTATATGCAAAATTCCATACTATTCGGGCTGATATTACACGTTTGGTGCACAATAAAAGGCAAATGGGACGAAGATATATATGGGAGCTATATCTAAATTTTGACCGATTATCTCCAATTTCAATAGGGTTCGTCCTTGGACCAAGCAAATGATCTGTACAAATTTTCATATGGATCGGGCAATAAATGCGACCTGTAATTTGTTTACAAAAATACATGAACAGACAGACGGACTGACAGACGGACATGCATAAATCGACTGAGAATGTGATTCTATGCAGATCATCAAAAGGAACTATGGGTCTATCTCGATTCCTTTTGCCTGTTAAAAAAACAAATGCACAAAGACATAATACCCTAACCACCTTGTGGTGTAGGGTATAAGAAGCTTTAAAAATGAAGCGGGATTAGGTATTTTTCTGAAAATTCGAAAAATTCTCAAATTTGAAATTATCTTTGTTTCAGTTCAGTTGACCCCTTTATCTCTATTTTACTTCAAATTGATCGATAGATTTTTTTAGAAAATCTGAAAAATTCCTAAGTCTAAAAATAGGATTCAAAATTTTCCAATGCATTTTTTTATGCCCTCAGCCTCAGATGGCTACAGAGGATATATATATCATTTGATGCGGCCAAAACGTGGCTCATTGAAAAAACGGTTTTAGGCCCTAGGTCTCTTTGGACCAAATCCGTTTCAGGCCATTTGGAATCGAATTAGCGGTGTTCGTCTGTCTGTGTGGCTGGTGCACACGATAACTCTCGAAGGGATTATCCGATTTCGTCCAAACTTGGTACATCGTAATATTATTATCAAACTTAGATCGCGTTCAGCCAACAAAGGCAGAAAAAAAAGAAATGCACAGAAAGAGAAAAGATAATCCGATTTTGCTACATTAGGTGCGAAAATGGACAATATGGGTCCACTCAATCAAGTGCATCCTCCACAAGGGGGTCAAAATTTTGAATAATTATAACCCTTATAATATGTAATGTAAGAGTCCGATTGTCTTTGAATTGCAGACATAACAATATTTTTATTTACCCAAGGTTTGGTGTGAAGATGGGATATGTGGGTCCACTGCTTCTGGTACCTCCCCCACAAAGGGTCACATTTTTTGGGTAACCAAGCAGTTCATAAAACTCGAAAAGTTCATCCCATTCCATCCAGACCATATTTCCATCAATACAAGATCTGTTATAAAGATGATAGAGATGGGACTACTCCATCTGGTACCTCCCTCACAAAGGGTCAAATTTTGAATATCCCTGAAGCTTCTAAAATGCGAAATAAACATCCGATTCCATTCAGACTTGGCACATCTCAATATTTCTACCAACACAAGATCTGTTATAAAGATGGTGGAGATCGGACCATTCCTTCTGGTACCTTCCCCACAAAGGGTCAAAATGTTGAATAACCAAAACGATAATAAAATCCGAAATAACCATCCGGTTCTTTTCAAATTACACACAATAATCGAACATGGGCTGAGGGTATACATCTGTCTGCAATACCAATTGATATTTTTTAACTTGTCTAAAATTTATTCGTACTAATTCTTTCTGAGAGAAATTTCTCCAGAGAGGATTTGAAAACTCTCCGTAATTTATGGTTCAAAATTGCTCTCTTCACTTGTCCTCGTCACGGTACTTTTAATTTTTACACTGTCCAACAGAAAAAATAATTGAAAAAAAAAAGAAGTAAAACAGCAACTAAGCTCGGCCGGGCCGAAATTTTAATATCCTCCACCACTTGGAAGGAACTTGAAAAATTCGAAAAAAAATTGAAGTCGTGGACCTGCTTACGAAATGTTGTCATAGGCTGTAGTACCCTTTACGAACATCAAACACCAGCTTTGAAATAATTCCGGCGAATAATGTCGCTAAAATCATCAAAATATCGAAAATCAGGAGGTGCCGTTATATGGTGGCTATACGAAGGCCTGAATCTCCATTACGAAATTCAAATACCAAATATGAAAAAAATCCGGTGAGTAATGTCGCTAAAATCATCGAATTACCGATTATTCGGATATACAGGGTTGCCCATATTCGACGGACCCATGACTCTTTGGGCCCATTCCAATCGACGAGGCTTGTCCGCAGGCAACATTCTTTGCGTCAATTGAATTTTGTACGGGAACAAATGCAAATCAATGCGAATAATCCGTTGTAAAGTGGACCGAGCCATGCCCAACTGCTGAGAACGGCATTTTTGGGATGTTCTTGGGGACCTCTCAACAATGGCTCGTACGGCAGCGATATTCTCGGCCGATCGCCTTGGTCGACTTTTATATGACCTCTTCGGATTAGAAAGAGCCTTACCAGTCGAAAATGTTTCGTATAAACGCATAATGGTGTTCTTAGAAGGCGCACTTCTCACATTTTTTAATGTTTTAAAAGCACGTTGAGTTTTCAGAATTGACTTTTTCTGTTGAATGTAAATTTCAACTATTTCAGAGAGCTCGCGTGGCGTGTATTGGTTCATGGTAAAAATCTGCTTGGACTGACGCTTCAAACGCGGTATGCCATTAAGCGATGTGACATCTCTGTCAAAAGTTATGGCGTTGCCAGATGGGTCCGTCGAATATGGGCAACCCTGTACCATTATATGGAGACTATACAAAGACGTGGACCCGCACAGACAATTTTCTGTCTTAGGCTGTAGTATCCATTACGAACTTCAAATGCCAAATTTGAAACAATTCCGGTGAATAATGTCACGTAAATCATCTAAATATCGAAAATAGGGAGGTACCATTATATGGGGGCTATGCCAAAACATGGACATACATGGCCCATTTTCAATACCGAAAGTCCTGCGGACATAATATACATTTGAGTAAAATTTTATCGACCTACTACATTTCGTTCGGAAGTCGGAGTGATTTCCACAAGAGGGAGGGACATCGCTAAATCGACATAGAATTTTATGCTGATCAAGAATATATACACTTCGTGGGGTCTAAAATGTATATTTTGAGGTGTTAGAAACGGAATGACAAACTTATTATATCCTCCATACTATGGTGGAGGTGGTATAAAAAATACGAAAAGATCATGAAAGTAGAGTTCGAAATATGAGACACATGTATCGGTGTTTTAAAAATGTACATCGGGAGGCAACCTAAATAGGGTGGTGAAGTTTCGTCTTTTTTTTTGCATTTTTGAAAATATTCGAAAATAATAGTGCCTTGGTAATGTGTTACTGGCAAAAATTCGTAGAATATTTTTTAACACAAATTAACCCTTAGTCGAGTCTTTAAAAGGGCCATTTAGACCTTTTTCTTCAAACCCCTCTCCCCCCTAACATGTCATCACGTTGGATTAAAATATTCTGCCCACTATGATTCTAAGAATATGGTACACCTCTTAACTCGAAGAGTTTGAAAGAGGCAAAAAATGGCCGAATTTCGAAATTTCGCCGTTTATTACTACTGAACTGTTTCGTATTGAAAATAGGTTATATATGTCAGTGTTTAAGGAAATTTGTTTGAAATCCTTTAAAACAGGTCTTTTTGGTGCCTTACAAACATGGGGACACAAAATATCTTTCCAGAAGATTGTCGCTAGAATTTCACCCAGGGAAATACCTTTTAATTTTTTTCTTGAAGAATTTTGTTACATTTTTGTTAAAAATAATTTTTCAAATAAAATTTTAGAATTCGAATAGCAATGTCATTTTTCCAAATAGTTTCACTTGTCCTGTTTTCCGAAATAAAAAATCTTTATTTTCATTAAATCTTAACTTTCTGACAGAATAGTATGCCTCTCAACAACGATGCTCTTGTACATAAAAATCCCCAAATCTCTTGCTCTCAAAATGCATCTGGCATAAGAGTAGTGGTGAGTGTGTGTGGTGTTAGGGCATGCAAGGGTATTTTGCGGACAACAACAAATACAACTAGTACTTGGGCGAGGAGTTCGCTCAAGTAGAATATGCCATCAACACACAAGTGCCTGCCTTGCATATGGGCACGACGACGACGACGACGGCGGCGACATCGATGACGAGTGTGTGCATGTGTGTAGCAGCAAGTGAGTTCGATATGTATGGAAAGTGGAACATGGCTGGGCCGAAGGAGGTGGTGGAGTAGGCTATATAAGTACATGTGTATGTATGTATGTATGTGTGTATAAAGAACAATATCTCTTTTGAATTTTAAAAATATATATTTATTTAAGTGCATTGATGTAAAATAGCTGAGAGTATGAGTATATGTGTTTGTGTGAATGCTAAAAACTTGTATTGAGAAGAATTTGTAGAAGAAGAATAAGAATATGAAAGAAGCGTAAGGAAGAAAGAAAGAATCCCAAAACACTCTCGACTTACTTACCCTTCTCGGTTTGCTGGTCTCAACAATTTCAGGCATTTGCTCAACTTCAATACCGTCTGACATCTTGGTTTTGGTTCTGATTCTTTCTGTGTGTGGTGGTGTTGGACTGGGATTTGGTTTCGATGAGCTGTAGAGTTTGAAGTTCACTTGAAGTCAGCGATTAGTTTTGCGTGTTGATCTTTTCCTTTTTGTTTGTTGCTCGTCGTGATGCTGCCACACGTTCTGATTTCTTTTCTTTTCGGTTTTATTATTTTTTTATTGTTCTTTTTCGTTGTTCTGGTTCTGCTGGAAGGAAGGAGGAGGAGGGTATTGTTACAATGCCGGTTTAGCTTTGGACCAGGCAATTGATGGATAGCTGGATGGATGGATGATAGTTGAAGATGACGATGATGATGTGATGGTGACTTTTGTTGTTGAATGAAGCGAGGGGATTTTTTTTTATGTTTAATTGTTTTTTCTTTGAGGGGGATATTGATTTTATTATTTTTTCTATATTTTTTTGTTCTTTGATATGTTGCTTTTTGTTCTTAAAGTAGTTGTTTCTTTTGCACCAAAGAGGAGATACAAAAAAGAGATACACTTCAATAGCCAGACAAGGAAGTCAGTCGTAAGGCAAACACTATTTCCAAAGGGGGGCAAAATGTATAAAATCAATTTAATTTCAATTTTGTTAAATTCTTTTGAGTTTTTTTCTAATATTTTTTCACACACCTTTTGTTTTTTATATATATATATGAATGAAAAAAGGAAACTATATATCAAAAATGTTTTTTGTCTGATAAATTTTTTTTTTTTGGTTACAAAGGAGTGGAGTTTTAAAATCGTCAGTTGATTTTTACGCGTTAAGCACGTCCGTTCCGTTCGATTGCTACTCACGAATAAATGTTCAAAAATTTGAAATGACTATAAACGGAGTGTCTCTGTCTACAACTCAAAATTTTGTTAACAGAGACGGCGGCAGCAGCGCCGCAGCGCATCAACGTCAACAGAGACCCCCAACATGAATCGTTTAACAGTGAGTTGTGGAGCCACATTGCATTGTCAGAGAAAGGTATCTTGTTGACGATGGAAATGATAACATGACCGGCCACTGCATTCATTTGGGCAGAGATACGAATATGTATTTTTAACATTAATTGGGGAGTAAGTGAACAGTACTCTCTGCTGCTACTCTCTCTCTCTGTCTCTCGAGGTAATCACAAATTGCAACATGTTTGTTGTCCACTATACGCATTTGCAATGGAAAGCATGGTATATGTGCGTGTGTGTCACTTTTTGTAACTCCAAGATAGAATTCTCTCTGGGAGATTTTTTTCCAATTGGGGAAGTTATGCTGGTGCAATGGTGTTGCCACCGGGGAAACTGCAGTAAAAATAAATGGGGAAATAAGGTGAGAATACATAAACCCTTTGGAAAAGAACAAAGAAGCGTAGGATAAACACGTATCAATAACGGGCCAAAATTGAAATAAGTCAACCTTAAACTCCTTTGCTCTTCTACGAAGCCGATGACTTAAGTCAGTAAAAAAACTCTTTATGTACTTCCACCTTAAATGCTCCTAAGGTCGGTATGTATCAGTAGTGCGCATTTTTCTAAACCTTCAACCATAGTATGGAGGGTATACACGGTGAGATTAAAAAACTGCAATCAACTTCAGACTTCTGTCATTTCCAAGCCACTCCTCCGACAGCTGTTAACATGATTCCAGTGACAGCTCATTATATTGTTTACAAACGTAAAAAAAGCATTTTGGTGAGAATTTTCCAGAAAAAAAGTTATTCGTGATGGAATTCAAGCGTGGTAGTGTGATTTCTTTATATTTGGCTAGAAAACCACAAGTGGCTATCATTAGAGCACTCCAACATTTAAATGTGAATAAATCTTTTGTGTCTCGTACCATCGCTTTTTACCGTGATATTGGTAGCGTAGCCCAACGTCAAGGAAGTGGACGGAAGAAAACAACAACAACAGCAGAAATGGTTCGAAAAGTAAAGAAGCGACTTGATCGAAACCCGCGTCGCAGTGGCTAAAAAATGGATTGTGAGCTGAACATATCGGAATATTCCATTCGGCAAATATTGAGAAATGAGCTCGGCCTCAAGCCGGCCTGGTGATGGTGTGGACCTCCATAACTGTGGATGGTCGCTCTCCGCTCGTGTTAATTGACAGTGGCATCAGAATAAATGCCGAATATTATCGCGAAAATATTCTGGAGGGTATATTAAAGCATTGGGCACGCAAACATTTTGGCGGCAGACCGTGAAAAATCCAACTGGACTCAGCACGCGTCACCTAAGCATGGTTACAAAATGAGGTTCCTCGTTTCATTTCCAGCGCACAATGGTCACCACAATCACCGGATACCAATTCGTTGGACTATTGTGTCTGGAGTATTTTGGAAAGCAAGGTTGGCAAAATACCAAAATGTCGATCATCTCAAGCAAGCGCTTCGCCGAGAATGGGCCAAAATACCACAGAGCGACATTCGGGCAGCGTGGGACGGATTCATTGGCCGTTTAAAGCTCATAATTCGTGCCAAAGGTGAACAATTCGAAAAAATCTAAACTTATTCTAAAATTTTGGTAAATTTGGTATTTGAAGTTCGTAATGTTTACTGCAGCCTATGACAAACATTTTTGTATGCAGGTCCACGTCTTCGTATAACCTCCATGCTGATGATTGTTTTGCATTTAGGGAGCATTTTGTTCTTCAAATAGTTAACCCCATTGTGGGGTTGGTGCCAGAAGGAGTGGGCCGATATATCCCATCTTAATAAAAGACCTTGTGTTAATAGAAACATCAGGCTGTGCCGAGTTTGAAAGGAATCGAATGCTTGATTCTCATTTTATGAGAGTTTTAAATATTTCAAATTTTGATCCTTTGTGGGGGAGGTACCAGATGGGGTCAGCTGATACTGTCGATTTTTACACCAGATTTAGCACTGATGAAAATATAAGTATTTGCAAAGTTTGCAAAATTTTAGAGATCCTTTCTTGTTCTTGTTGTTTGCACCCCTAGATTAACTCCAAATGTCCTGAAACGGATTTGGTCCAAAAAGACCTAGGGTGTAGAACCGTTATTTCGTTGAGCCACTTTTTGACCGTATCAAATGATAAATATCCCTGTAGCCATATGACTGAGGGTATAAACATATCTATGAAACCACATAAAACTTTTGGTCATCGGAGTTATAACTCCTGTTTTTGAAAATGTAACTGTACCTAACGATATTCGGTATTTTGACGATTTAGATCACATTTTCTAACAGAATTGTTAAAAATTCGGTACTTAGAGTTTGTAATGGGTTCCGCCTCCAGAACAGTGTCTATAATGATTCACGTTTTCCTGTAACACCCATTTAATAATACAGTGGTTTCTATTTACCTGCATCAACATTAGCTGCGCATTGGCCTTTGCAGACCAAAAAACTTTTTTATGCCATTTTTTTCTGAATCCCTTTATTTGAATTGTATTTAAGTGCCCAATCGATAGCTGCACATTGGACATTCCTGCCTCGAAAATTTGGTATTTTTTTTTAATTTGGTTACAAAAGTTGTATTTATCTGCACAAGAAAATTTTTTGCAAACTCAAAAAAGACACTAAAAACTATCATTTCGTTTTTGTATTCGCAAAAACAATAACAACACAAGAAAAGAGCATGCATTAAAAACATATTCTCGCTTCCTCCCCCACACTAAAAGATGGTTATGCTGCTGCTGCTTTGTTGTGCACGAACAGAAAATTAAAGATAACTGCACTTTTTGTGCACGTAAGTAAAATTAAAGATACCTGCTTCATTGTGCAGATAAATGCAATGAAGCTACCTGCATTTTGGGCATTGCTGCACAAGATGTCGTGCAATTTTTGATTGTGCAGGTAAGCAAAAAATACTGTATATCCTGATATTCGTTACTATGATTATGACTAACGGAATTGCTTAAAATTTGGTACTTAGGGTTCGTAATGGATTCTACCTTCTGAGGTAAATTATTTCCAATATAGGTTCACCTCTATCTTTAGCCCTCATTTTTACGGCTTTTTACAAACCGATTTCACTAGCAAAATGGAGGTGAAGCCAATATTCTCAAATTTCCTTACCTCATGGTGGAGGGTATTAAAATTTCGGCATGGCCGAACCTCTTTTTATACCCTACACCACAAGGTGGTCAGGGTATTATGTCTTTGTGCATTTGTTTGTAACAGGCAAAAGGAAATGAGATAGACACATAGTTCCTTTTGATGATCTGCATAGAATCACATTCTGAGTCGATTTATGCATGTCCGTCCGTCCGTCTGTCCATGTATTTTTGTGAACAAAGTACAGTTCGCATTTATTGCGCAATCCAGATGAAATTTTGCACAAATCAGTTGTTTGGCCAAAGGACGAACCCTTTTGAAATTGGAGAAAATCGGTCAAAATTTAGATATAGCTTCGGCATATTTAGTCCGATTTGCCTTTTATTGTGCACCAAACGTGTAATATCAGCCCGAATAATTTTTTTTGCACATACAACCAGATTAGGACTGAAAATAAGTATGCCGAATTTGATCGAAATCGGTTCAGATATAGCTATAGCTCATCCGATTTGTTATTTTTGTCCTCCGCAGCCGTAATATTCACTCCGTAGTAACTATATTCGGGGAAATCTATCAAATGCAGCTCAGAAATACATTTGCTAAATTTTATCGAGATCGGTTTAGATTTGGATATAGCTCCCATATATAACTTTGTCCGATTTACTTTTATTGTGCACCAAACGTCTAATATTTGACCAAATGGGATGGAATTTGGCACTTACGACCGAATTGAGTCTAAAAGCTAGCATGTCAAATGTGGTGAAGATTGGTTCAGATATAGCTATAGCTCCCACATATACTGTTCATCCGATTTGTTCTATTTGTTATACACAGCCGTAGTATGCACTCCGTAACAACGATATTCAGGGAAATATTTCAAATACAGTTCAGAAATATCTTTGCCAAATTTTATCGAGATCGGTTCAGATTTGGATATGGCTCCCATATATATATCTTTATCTGATTTCAAATTGATTTTGCACCCAATGGGCAATACAAGTCCGAATTTAAAATATGCAAATGCTTCTGCATATTTAATCTTTTAAACTTTAAATTATAATTATAGTCATAGCGTGTATGATTGAATTCTCCCATGAAAACCTTTAATTTTTATGTGGAGCTCTACAAAATTAGCAAAGTGGTGTAGGGTATCATAAAGTCGGCCCCGCCCGACTTTAGGACTTTCTTTACTGGTTTGCAAAATATTTTACTGCAATGTCATCATCTTATCCTTATGTGCGAAAAATACCCTTAATGGTGTTTTTCGCACATAAGGATAAGATGATGACATTGCAGTAAAATATTTTGCAAACCAGTAAAGAAAGTCCTAAAGTCGGGCGGGGCCGACTTTATGATACCCTACACCACTTTGCTAATTTTGTAGAGCTCCACATAAAAATTAAAGGTTTTCATGGGAGAATTCAATCATACACGCTATGACT